TATTTCGTATTGTGTCTTGGAAGTACGAAGCCTCCGTTACAAACCGAACGGAGGAATCAAAGGTCACCAGTTCAAATCCCTGACCTCCATTTGCTCTGTGTGGAGAGTGAACGCCACGAGGGTTTCCTGCTCTAAAATACAGGATCTATTAGGCTTGAGGAAAATCAGCCCTGCGGATTCTTTCTTCTACTACTGTACATGTAACATTTGCAAACATAACCACACAAATGAAAACTTTAAATACTAGTTTGGCTTTCAGTTGTGAATAGAAATATATCAAATAAGTTTTTTAAAATGGAACTTTTTATATATTTTTGCTCCACTCTTAATTTGAAAGGTTCAAAATAATCTTTGTGCTTAATCATCCAGGAGAAATAAACATCCAGTATGTAGTAAAGTTTGGTTGTAAACTGTTGACTCAATAATTAACTCACTTACGAAATTATATTTCAGAGTTCAGACCTATAAGTACAACAGAGTATTAGGGCCACACTAAGAAAAAAAAGTTACATTACGAGAATAAAGTCGTACGAGAATAAAGTCGAAAATTACAAGAATAAAGTCATAATATTATGAGAATAAACTCGTAATATTACCAGAATAAAGTTGTTTTCAATTAGAAAAATTACTAAGCTAACCACCACTATTGTAGCTAACCACCTAGCCTTGCAGTCGACCACTGCCAGAAAGCTCCTCTTCCACAAAAAAAGCAACTTCTTCCCAATCTGTGTGGTTCTTTCTTCAAAACAGACATAGTTGTTTAAACAATCATTTCAAAGTCCTGATACTGATAATAATCTGATGTGCTAACAGATTAAATATTTCATTATTTGTAAAAAAAACAATACCAAAGTATAACTTAACAAGAAGCTCAACATTCATCATTTTACCGCAGTTGTAAGACTGCTTTTTCATGTCGGAGTTCTGATATTACGACTTTATTCTGGTAATATTACGAGAATAATTATGTCACTATATTTATGAGTTTATTCCCATAATACTATGACTTTATTCTTGTAATATTTTGACTTTGTTGTCGTACAACTTTATTCTCATAATATTACAACTTTTTTCTCGTAATGTAATTTTTTTTTCTTAGCGCCCTAATACTCTTGTCGTATAAAAGTCTAATGAATGATGTAGAATGAAGTTTCTGGACAACTTATAACAGATAATGAATGTTAATTAACTTTCTTTTACACTGTATATATATGAATGTTTCTATCTCTGTTTCTAACCCTGAGACGACTTCTGTTTTGACTTGATGCTATATAAATTAATTGAATTGAATTGAACTTATCTGTGTTAACATTGGTTTAATTTATATTTTTTTATTACTTATTATTATGTTTTATTTATTCACAACTCAAACTTAACTCAATATTGTGAGAAAATAAGACATCTTTCATTGCAGTCTGTATTTTAATTTTGTACGTTAAGAAATGTTCACAGAACTGCATGTGCAGCTGGACTTCTGCAAGATTTTAGTGGCTATAAATAAAACTTTAAAAAGTTAAAAAGGGGTTTTCTTTAAACATATTCTTCTGTAAAGAAAAGAAGAAGTGAGTCACGTTGAGTCTCACGCTGTAGTTGGCAGGTATTGTAAAAATAATTTTAATTGGCCCCCGTCATTAGGTGCATATTGTCAGAGTTTCCCGATGTTTGCCTGTGAGTCGTTCCACAAAGTGTTTCCCATCTGCCATTTGACTACCATCCACTGTTGCTTCTGTCTATGAAATACGTTGAATGAATTTCAACTGAATCCCGGGCTGTCACTTGAAAGAACATCACCTCAGAGAACGAGGATTAAAGCTGCTCTCTGGGCCGCTTTCTTTGCATGTATTGAAAACAGGAACTGACTTTCTCTCCACCAATCCAGGCTGCAATTTTTAAACAAAACAACCTGAAAGACGATACCACTTTTGATTAGCTTTAGCGGGTTCTTCGTTTTTGAAAACGAAAAAAAAACAACCTTTAGCCGTACACGAACGTCAATACCAAAGTCATTTATGGATTTTGTTCGGGACTTTTAGATTTAAAAATCTGCTGTTTCTGATGAGAACAAAGTGAAACAGCCGAGAGACGACCTGGCAGTAATAATGAGTCAAACCTGTTTGTGTAAATCCAGAACATCTCCAACACTTTGTGCTTTACTTGCAGGAAACAAAAAGAGGGAATTCCCCTGGTGGATCATCGCAGTGACTCTAAGCATGCTGCAGTTATGTTACTGTGGATATGTAGGCTTATTCTGCTTTTGTCAAAAAATATTAAACATTTTTTATATAACAGTAATGGTAAGATCATATTTGTTGGCTGTCACATGTCCAAATGGTTAGTTTTGATGTAGTTGGCGGGGAATAGTAAGAAATGAGTGACTTGTTGCAGTCTTGCTTTTCTGAGTGACCAAACAACCGGACATTAAAAAAAATTGAGTGTGCACAGCTTGTAAAACTGCATTCTCAGCAGCGCACATTATTTCACGCCCACCTCCACCCACATTATTCTCCCCTCAGATCGTTCTGTTCCCACCTCAGCAGCCGTCACCCACATGTAGGATTTAACTGGAGTACACGTTTGAAATGTGACATTGTGACGTCACGTGTATCGTAGAATGGTAGCTCTGACGGGAGCGCCGCTTCGACTCGCTCTTTTTTTGTTCCTGTTGTTCTTGTTTGAACTTTTTTTTGCGCCTACGCTGTGCACCCACGCTACGGGTCTGACTGTGACGCACTTTTGGAGTTTTGTGTGCTGCTGTCTTGCGATTGTGCCATCATGGTTCAGTTCCCGGCCCCCTTCCAGCCTCGGACTCAGGCTCCAGCCTGTCATGGCGGCCGTCTCCATGATGCTCCATCTACCTGCACAGACCGAACTCTACGGAACAGTTCGCTTCCACGAGGAAATCTAGTATGTTCTGTGTCTGATGGACCTGTTTCTGGAGGGCAGTCATCGTCAGTTGCCACAGTTGTTATATCATCATGCTGCTAACGGGATCTTGCTGCTAACAGTACCATGGTGCTAACAGGACTATAATGCAGCTAACAGAACCTCACTGCTGTACCATGGTGCTAAAAGAACCTCACTGCTAACAGGACCATGGTGCTAACAGGACCGTGCTGCTAACAAGACTATGTAGCTAACAGAATCTTACTGTAATACCATGGTGATAAAAGAACCTCACTGTTAACAGGACAGTGGTGCTAACAGGATCATGCTGCTAACAAGACTATGCCGCTAAAAGAACCTCACTGCTAACAGAACCACACTGCTAACAGTACCATGGTGCTAACAGGGCATTGCTGCTAACAAGACCACGCTGCTAACAGAACCACACTACAGTACCATGAGGCTAAAAGAACCTTGGCTAACAGAACCACACTGCTAACAGTACCATGCTGGTTGGTGTAGATGTATTTCTTTTTCACTTTTGGTGCCTTGTTTTTGTATTTTTGTTGCATGCTTTTTTTTTCTTTCTTTTTTTTAAACGAGTCGAGATGAACGTCCTGAACATTTCATTGCATTGTTGACGTTGTGTTGGGATTAATCTGTCTAAATAAAGGTTGAATGAATGAAAAGTGTTGATCTGCATACAACAAATAAACCAAACCTGACCTAAATGAAGACCTGAACGTGACGTGTTTCCTGTCAGAGGAGACTTCCTGTGCAGGATTCAAAACACATCTAAGGTCCTCCAGAGACAGGTTTGGAGATACCAGCAACAACTCTGTGATCATTCTGAGAGAAACCTTGCGGCACCATTTTTTGAACATGTTTAAAAGTCAAGCAGATCATTCGTGGTGGATGGGTGACATTAAAATGATGTGACTGGTTTGTGTCAACTAGCTGGCTGGATTTCAAATCTCCAAACAGAATTACTTGATGTGCAACTTTACAAATGATTATAACTCGGGTAGTTTCACAGATACTGAGCTAAAATTCAGTGTGATGGTAGCTGAGAGTCATCCCCAACACATACTCTGAGTGTTAACAAATTGCTTGAGTTCTTGCAACGTTGTGTACAAACAAGCGTAAAGTTATGACCAAAAATGCTGCAATTTTTTTTTAACATTTTAGGTTTGAATTTTAGACAGAAAGGTAGTGGGTAATATGCCAGACCTATTATACCATTACTTCAACAAAATGCACATATCCAAATTAATGGAGAATTATCAGCAAAACAAAATCAGTAAAGATGTTTCACTCTATCTGTCTCTCGTTAAAGATGTTAAAACAACCTTTGACTTACTTTTTCCTGAATGGGCTGTAAAATAAAGCGCTCGTGTTTCCACCCGTTCAGCTCATAAACCCTCTTTTCTTTATAGTGATCATTTTAACTTCTGCTTCTAAGACAGTTCAAGGAACAACCCCATCATTTCACCCAAAATGAGCAATTTTATTAAAACCTTCCAGCAGAAATAACCTTCACTCCTTGGGGAGAATCCATGTCAAGCTGATTTACGAACAGCTATGACACTGAGAGCTGCAAAACTGCGAGAAGAGTCAGAATATTTAAAAACCTATGGCTTGTAGTAACTCTGTTAGTTTAATCCTGACTATGTCAGTGAATTATTTAAAAAAAATCTACTTTAAGGTATTTCACAACAAAACTACCTCGCCCACTTGTTGGAAAAGACACTTTTAACCCTAAACTTTGTGCGTGGAAATGAACCACAATAGGATTTTTTCTTTTTTGGGACTATTTAAAAGTAAAGACAGCTGAGCGTTCATCCTATAAACCAAACACAGATTTGTGTTTACACAGCAAACATTTATTAAATGGGATTATTTCCCATTAACTAAACTCAGATGAGTATTTTATGACTTAAAGCAAATAAAAGGTGATTTTGTGACCCCTTCTTATTTACCTCCCAGCAGGTTAATAAAGAAATATTTCTGCCTTTGAGCCATGTAGCTATATAGTGCATTTATGTTTTCAGTTTTATTTTTTGTCATTAAAAGTCGTTTTTGCCACGTTTACCGCGTGCAGCGCGCGTGAGACTCACCCAGTATGAAGCAGAGGAGCGTCTGTTTCTGCAGAACCGAACCGGCGCGCGGCTCCATCCTGGCGCTCCACAAATGAGTGAACTTTTGGCAGAAAGGATCCAAGAGGAGCTCAGTGAGGAGGTGCTGACATCATGAAGTGACCGCGTGGGGGGAGATCCGCGGAGCTAAAACCTCCACCTTTAATGCCGGCTCGGGGGGGGAGACCCGGGACTCGTCGTGGTTCCTGCTGCACCGCACCTCCCCGGAGTCCTCCTTCCTGTCACCGATCCGAGGGCATGAAACACACCGAGCCGTGAAGTTGGAGGGCGGGAGTCCGGAAGGCACCGCGGGGAAACTGTGGCGGGATTGGAGAGTGCCGTGCGCAACGGGACGCGCCAGCCCGGGACGCGCGCGTGGAGCTGAGCTGTGAAGGGACAGGCTGGACCCAGCAGGGCGCAAGGAAGAGAAGGGAGGGGGAGACACACTGGAGGACATAAAGACAGACTGTGTGTGTCTGTTAGCAAAATATCTCCTGAGCTACTGGACGGATTTTATTGAAACTTACAGAAATGAATCACTACATGTTCATCTACATCTGATTTACTTTTGGAGTCAGTGTGATTTAAACCACAAGCAACTGTCCTTAACAACCACATAAGTGGAAATATGCCAATCACTTTTACAAATAAACACTTGATGTGTTAATATCTGCGAGTGATCCCCATATTTTAAATTTAGCTGTTACCTCTGTTTGCAAAACGTCATCATTTAAAGATAATCATTTGGACACCACCGCTTATCTTTTGGAGTTAGTCCAGTTCAAGATGGCTCTGCACAACTAATCAGTATCATTCACGCAAAAATTTAACGCGTCAGTTTTAAGTTAGTGTCATTATTTATTTGACAGAAAAATCCAAACGCAGACGCAGTGAATGTACTAAATTCAGTCGTTTAAGATTTTGCATGTGACTCAGGCCCAAATCATAACACTTCCACCTCTGTGCTTGACAACTGAGGTGTTTGCTTGTTTTTCTTCTCCAACATGCTGTGCACCGTAACCGATTCAATTCAATTCAGTTTATTTATATAGCGCCAAATCACAACCACGTTGTCTCAGGGCACTTTACAGGAACATTCACATACATAAAAGTCAATTAGTAAAGTTCTCTATCTAAGGAATCCAGCAGACTAGTTGAATCTTGGCTTCGATGCAGTCTCCCATCCTGAGCAAGCACAGTGGCAACAGTGGAAAGGAAAAACTCCCTTTAACAGGAAGAAACCTCCAGCAGAACCAGGCTCAGGACAAGCAGCCATCTGCTTTGACCGGCTGGTTTGAGAGGACAGGAAGGAGAGACAGACAAACACAGAATGGTAGGTCCAGATATACATAGGTCCAGGTGTACCTGAAAGACAAAAAAACAAAACAACCTCATGTTAAGGATAGAAAAAAAAAATTACAAATACAAAACAGGTTGAGCAGAGTAAGTAAAGACAGTAGCAGAGTGAAAAGGGTGGTCAGTTTGTCCTCCAACAGATATTTGGTCTCACCTGTTCAAATCCCATTATTCCACAAGTTTTATGGATTATTGAGCTGAGATTTTACCATGTTCTGCTTGTCCTTCTCGTTTCCAAACTAACCATGTTTTTTTGTGTGTTTTTCCTAACACAAACTTTAACTTTTAACGTGATGCTTCCATCAAGTCTTGTGTTTTTAGCAGTTTGAGTGCAGAGTGTCAGCTGTCTGTCTGGTCACTGCTTTCTGTAGAACTATGGCCATTAAACTGTTTATAAATGGCATTATAACCCCTCTGATGATGGACAGCTGATGTCTTTGCATGTGCATATATAGTTGTGATACATGTGCATGTGTTAACATAAATACACACACTTATGTGCTTCTGTTTAAGAATATTAATATGCATTTAATTGTGGGATTTTATGGATTTTGTTTAACTTTAGACTTGTTTGATGCCAAAGAATAATTTCAACTTTATGTAAATGAAATGGACCCTGAAGTTATTAAGTGCTCACAGTTGCTGATAATTAATCGTTGTATTTGACGTTCAGCACCTTGCTGCTTATATTTCCAGTGGAAATATTAAAACAAGCTCTAACGCGTGTAAAACTTTGAAAACAGATTCATTTTGGACTTGTGTATTTGTTTGCTGAAGTCAAAAACAGTGTTGTGTTCAGTTGCTGCACTGGTGACATGATGGAAATGATACATTTGAAGTTTAGGGTGTTTCTAATTGTCAAACACTGCCCTCTAGTGTTCATAGGGAGTTTTATAGTTCATTTGGCTGATGCAGCTTTATTGTTCACTATAATTCTTTTTTTACATCTGGTACAAATCATGATAAGAATTACATCAAAGTCAATTTGATCCACTTTGTTAAATAAATGGCCACCTTAATGTGTAACAGTACATGAGCTCAGTGTCGATTCATCTACAAATATTTTTTTATTTATTATCCAGCTCCTGCCTAAATGATTTTGTGAAGTTTCATGTCAAAGCTACAAAAGGAGCTTTAAAGCCGGTCAAACTATCTGCTGACAAACTGAAAACTCGAGGAACTCGGTTCTTCCAGTCAGTCAGGAGGATGAGATATTCACAAAAAGTAAAAATGAAAGTAGATGATCTTCAAAAAATTCTGCAAATTATAAAACACGAGCTTGATGTGACACAAACTGTCATTACTCCTTTGACAAATGCAAAACATAATCATGGACCAGAATATAAAATACACCAAGTTTAGACACTCAGATTTTAAGAATCTCATTAAAATATTTTAATATACCCTGCCTAAAGACAAAGAAAGGGTATAATGTTTTTACCCATTAAAGCCCATTAGAATCTAGTGTTGGGTTCAAAACCTTGTAAAAAAACAAAACAATTTTCTGACATTTAAATGTAAAGATAATCATCACTTTTTCTTTATAAAGAGAGGATATTCTCAAATCCCACAACAAACAAACTCTTCAAGAACTTTCAAAACTGCACTGCATCATGTCTACAAAGATGCCGATAAGTAAAAAGTAGAATAAAAAAAATCAATCATAAATCATTAAACTTAAAAAAGAAAAACTTTGATGGTCATAGAACGAGTATTTATTACACATTTGAGTAACATCTACAATCTTCATTTCTAGATTCAGGAAGAGGGCCGCCTGCATCATGAAGGACCCCACTCACCCAGCACACACACTTTTTGCCCCTCTCTCCTCAGGAAGGAGGTTAAGGAGCATTAAGTGTAACACTAGACTGAGGAACAGCTTCTACCCTGAGGCTGTTAGACTCCTGAATCTCTAACCAGGATAATCACTGTGAAGAATCACATCATGCTGCTGCTGATCTGTTTCATGTTGCTGCTGATCTGTTTCATGTTGATGTGTTCATGAGTGCTCATCTGCTCACACAGACTCATGTTCATGCTGCTGTTCGACATATTGTTTTTATGCTATTAGTGCTTAGTGTATTTTTAGTGGATGTTTTTCTTAGTTCATATCTTAAATCTTTTTACTGTTCTTCTTTTACTTTTTATTGTTGGATGTAACTGGGGCCCTGAGTACATAATCTCGTTCCACCACATGTACCACATGTGGTGGAACGAGAATAAAGAAACTCTGACTCTGACTCAGATTCAGGTCTTCTTTCGTCTTGGTGTGTTGCATAAAACCAAAAGCCTCTTTAAAATCCACCCCGTAACGCCTGTCTGTCCAGCTGTCGCCACGGCAACCAAGTGTAAACGCGGGATGACAAAGAAGAGAGGAAACATTTGAGTTTGTTAAAAAGGGTCGAAGATATACCTGAAACCTGCTTCCAGATGTTTCAGGGAGACAAGCAGTTTCAGAAGATCAAACCAGATGAGATTTAACTGTAAGTAATGAAGGCAGCTGATTTTTTACTTAATAAAAAAAAAATATACATATATATTTTAAGTGCTAATGATCCTGTAAGAGATAGCAAATAAATAACAGATCCCTTTCTAATTTATGCACATTTTTTATTTATTTTGGTAGTGTCTTGTGCGTTTAAGTCATTTTCAGTCACTTGCTTAGTTTTTGTTAAACATTAAACCTGAAGAAGAAGAGGAACCAAGGACACATTCTTATTGTAAAAAACATTGCACATGACATAGATGTTATTAATCAAACAGTCTGCACAGTGCTAATTATTTACTAGCAGGGTCTCCATGAATCAAGAGGAGTTCACTGGTTTAATTAGGTAGAGAGGATGAGTAAGGACGGAGCTCAAGGTTGAACCATGTGATTGGAGGGAAAATGATTGTGTTTATGATTCGGTATGAGAACATCCAGATGCTATCCTATAAAGGAGCAAATGGATGGATTGGCACGGAAAAGTCAAGAACAAAGTACAATAATGACAAGATAGGGTTGATGTTCCGTAATGGTCTGTACTGAGATTAATTTGATTGAGTTTTAAGGTTTGGGACTGGATCTGCTCTTTTTTTACAACGCTTTGGAAAAGTGTTATAATCGTTGCAGACATAAACTGAACTGAGAAACCTGAGTGTGATGAAAAGAGCTCAAAATGAAGCAGAAGGATGAGTGGGAGGAGGAGAGAGGAACACGATGTAAAGATAAATGTGTGAGGAAGAAAAAGTGGGGCTTGAGAACCCAATGTGCTGAAAGGGTGGGACGGCGTTGGGTTTTTTACATTTTGTTTTTGCGTTCCTTTGCTTTCGGGTTTGTACGTGTTAGTTGTTTGTGTTTTTTCACATTAGGGTTTGCATTCTTTCATAGGTTCCTCACGTGTTCGATTAATTTATTTATAATCTGTCCAAGGGACAGCATATGAATCAAGATCAGACTTTAATGGATCACTATATTATTTAGGATAATAAAGACACTAGCATTAAAAAAAAAACATGTTGAGGGAGGAGGTGTGGTATTGCATGAGAAAATCTGGAGTGGCAGAGAAGTATGTTAGACTGGTACAGGACATGTATGAGGACAGCAGGACAGTGGTGAGATGTGCTGTAGGAGTGACAGATAGCTTCAAGGTGGAGGTGGGAGTGCATCAAGGATCGGATCTGAGCCCCTTCTTGTTTGCTCTGGTGATGGACCGACCAAATGTTTGCAGATGACATTGTGATCTGTGGTGAGAACAGGGAACAGGTGGAAGAGAACTTGGAGAGGTGGATATATGCTCTTGAAAGAAGAAGAATGAAAGT